CATGACATTTAAATACCACTGAACTTTGGTGCTAGCACATCCATCTCCTGTTTGACTTTGGTTAAAGCTTGATAATTAATGACTCAAGAAGAGGTGGATGGGGCTCAGTTTGGGGAGGAGGATGTGTGATCTTGGGTGGGACCATTGCACGTTTTTTTGGGTCCACATAACATTTGATTCATTATGTGACTTAAAAAAGCGATTTCAAATTTGGACTGAACAATTTGTTACTTGGATCATCTCTCTGTCCCAGTAAGTCGTATTAGGACAGAACTTTTTGCCATTATTTCCTGAAGCTACAGTTTTACTTAGAGAAGGTTTGCTTTTTAGGTGTTTATTTTTGTATTTCAAATTTAATTTATTTTTACAGAGTTGGTTTTTGGTTTTTTTTTCGTCAAAACATTTGAATGCCACTATTCCCATATGTAAGTTTGGTGATCAGAGTTTGAGAATTCCAAACTGGGGCATGTGGCTTGCTGGCCAGACAGAAACTTTGCATTAGAAGTATTCCCAGAAAATCCAGTATAAGGTCATCCTGCTTAGCAGCTCTTGATGTATGCAGTAGCTGTGTCTTGACATAGGCTTTTTGTTGTTTGCTTTTTAAAAAAATTTAGTACAATCCATAACCCAAACCAAACCAAATGGATTGCCATTGAGTCAATTCCGACTCCTAGTTACCCTGTAGGCCAGAGTAGAACTGCCTCGTAGGCTTTCCAAAGCTATAAATCTTCACAGAAGCAGACCACCTCATCTTTCTCCTACAATGCAGCCAGTGGGTCTGAATGCTGACTGCTAAGTTGGCAGCCGAGGTGCTTTAACCGCTGCACCACTAGGGCTCCATAATACATATGAGAGTATGCAAATCACGAGTACGTACAGCTCAGTGAATTTTAAAAGTAAAATACATAGGTGTTAATGACACTTAGATCAAGTAACAACATTTACTTTCATCCTAGAAGCCTCCCTTGTGCCTTCTCCCAGGCACTAACTCGCCCTCCATCCCATACCCCCTGGCAACACTCACCCTCATAACCACTATCCCAAATCCTTACATTGTGGATGAGTGTGGTGGTTATGTTTGTGTGTCAACTTGGCTGGGCCTTGTTGAGTGGCTGGGCAGCTGGTGGTAGTTATTCCCCATAATGAGACTGGCAATCAACTCCATGATGGCATCTACCACAAGCAGCTGAGTAGCTGCCTTTGGGATGTGGTCTGCTTCTTGTATATCAGGAGAAGCCTTGGGCCTGGTTTCTAGCCTGTGGCACGCTTGAACCTTGAATGTAAAAGGGTCGTTGTTCAGCAGCCTGCTATGCTCTGCCGACCTTGGGACTTTTCAATGGACTTGAGTTAATGGCCTGCCATGTGGTTTGGTAACATTGGGACTGTGCCTTTTTATTAGTTGACCTTGGGCTTGTTAGCCTCAGCAGCCAGTAGCTGCCTGAGTGAAGAGATGCCTCTAGCTTCAGTGGGCTGGGAGCAGGAGGCAAAGCTGAAGCCCAAGGTTGAGGGGCTTTTACCCAACCCCTAGAGCTTGGCACTTTGAACTAGGACTTTGAACTAAGCCTCCAAACCGTAAGAGAATAAACTCGTGTTTGTTAAGGCCATCCCATTTGTGGTATATTTCTGTCAGAGTGGCACTAGGTAACCAGAACAATGACTTTGCCAGTTTTGAGCTTTTGTAGATGGAATCATACAGTGATACTATTTTGAATCTGTCTTCTTTTGTTTAACTTTGTTTGAGAAATACATCCATATTGTTTAAGGTATCATTGTCAGAAGGTATTCCTTTTTGGGTATAACATTTCGTCCATTCTCTTGTGATGGGCATGTGAGTAGTTTCTATTTGGAAACCATTACCAGTGGTAATTAATGTTCTTGGACATTTTTAAAACTTCATTGTCATAAAGTATATGTAACATAAAATATGCCATGTAAACTGTTTTTACACATACATTTCAGTGGCATTACATTCACAATACAGTATTGTGTTATGCACACATCACCGTATATAGTTCCAAAACGTTTTCATCACCCCAAACAGAAACTCTGTATCCATTGAGCAATAGCTTCCCATTAACCTCTAAGCTACTTTCTGTCTTTATGAATTTGCCTATTCTGGATATTTCACAACAGTGGAACTATGTAGTATTTGCCCGTTTGTGTCTCAGTATACTGTTTTCAGCATTTATCTGGGTTGTAGCATGTATTAGAACATCATTTCTTCTTATGTCTGAATACTCTTCCAGTGTATAGTTACACCACATTTCATGTATTCAACTGTTGATGGACACTTGAATTGTTTCTACCTTTTGGCTGTTGTGAATAAGGCTATTATGAATATTGGTGTACAAGTATGTGTTTGAGTTCCTGCTTTCAGTTCTTTTGAGTATATACCTAGGAGTGGAATTGCTGGGTCATGTTGAACATTCTGTGTTTAACTTTTGGAGGAACCACAAACTTTTCCATAGCAGATAACACTGTTTTACATTCCTACTGGCAGTGCACGAAGATTCTGGTTTTGAGGTTTGTTTTGCCTTTTTGTTGTTGAGTTGTAGGAGTTCTTTATACAGTCTGAATAGTAAACTCTTATCATATATATGAGCTGCAAATATTTCATCCCATTTTTCAGATTGTCTTTTTACTTTATTGATAATGTTTTTCGATGCACAAAAGTTTTTAATTTGATGTTCAGTTTGTCTGTTTCTTTGTTGCTCATAATTTTGGTGTCACATCTAAGAATCCATTGCCAAATACAAGGTCATGAAAATTTACTCATGTTTTCTAGGAGTTTTATGGTTTTAGCTCATAAACTGAGATCCATTTTGAGTTAATTTTTGTGTATGATGTGAAGTAGGGGTCCAGATTCCTTTTGCATATGGAAATCTTGCATTGTTTGTTGAAGAGACTACACTTCCCCCATTGAATTGTCCTGACGCCCTGGTCGAAAATCAATTGGTTTTAGACGTGTGGATTTATTTCTCAATTCTCACGTTTGCATTTCTGTTGTTAACATATTAAGGGGTAAAGTTAGTTTAACAAAGTCTATTGACATGGTTGTTGTTGTTATATGC